TAGTCCTTTGCCTCTCTGAGAATTTGTTTTGTGCTCCCGAGGTAGTGATGGACTCGATGAATAATTCAATGGAAGATCATAAAGGAACACTGCCATAAAGTTAATTTTTTTTTTTTCTATTGGAGATTTTGCATTATTCTTCTATGATCTTGGCAGGACACTTGAATTTATTTTATGTTATTGTCCGTGCTATTGGTAGGTACCTTGTAAAGGCAGGTAAGCCTTATTTGGGTGATGCTGAGCACCACTGATTATAACACAAGGGGAAGTAGAAAAGATCTTACAGTTAAAAACAACAATCTAACATATTCTCTAAGGAGGAATAGTCTTTCCTGTATCTCTTTAAATGCTTTGTTGGACAATTGGATGTTGGAGGGCTGCCTTCTGCTTCTTGAAAAGACTTTTGGCTTCAGGGGAAACAGCGTGCTTCAGGCAATTCATGTGGCTAAATCCCAGAAGAAATTCACCTCTCACCAGTTGCTGACCGACACTGCCTGAAGTGTCTGCTTTGGGAAACATGATCAAGCCTTCATTTCTCTTTCTGATCACTCTTGGGTTTTGTTTGGTAATTGAGAAATGTTTCTCTTCCATTTACAGCAGGAATTTGTAAATAAGAGAGGAGAAATATATATAGTAGGTAACTTAAAAATAGTAAAAACCATACAGTTCTGTATGCTGCTACAAATACTGTCAAATTCCTATGCCTTAATAGGCTACAGAGTTTCATCTGTAGAAATGTCAAGAAAATGGATAACACTGGTTTCCTAAAAATTTCATCTCCTTGCATTTTTAAAAACATTTTTAAACCTCTTCCTTTCTCCTCTTCTGCTAGTCAATTAATCTCATTGTTCTTGTGATACTATTTTGTTCTTATTCTATGCTTATCTCACTTTTTTCTTTTTTCCTTGCTTTTTCTGAGCTGCAGTTGTTTTGGTTTGTTGTTGGTTTTTAGTTTTGGGTTTTGGGGGTTTTTTTTAAGAACAGTCTACTTTTTAAAAAATCAACTTTCTCTTCTGTCTTGCTCATTGATGTCTTTTCATCACTCAAACTTTTCCTGGCTGCCCTCTCTTGGTAATTTTCTTTCCCTTTTGTTTTATTTTTCTTGAGATTTTTGTCTGGATTTGTTTTTGCTTTTCCCTAAAGAAAAAAAATATGTTGTTGCTGAGTGTTACACATCATGGTGGTTTTCTGCTTTGCCTGATGGTAATGGGCAGTATTGATCAAAGGAGCAGTAGAAGAGAAGAGGTTCTGCAGCATTTAGTACTCCTGTACTGTGAGTTGGTTTTGGTTTTTGTCTGTATAACATCTAGCGTATTAGAAGCTACGTTTCCATGTTGGACCTTCCCGATTCTGTAGCTCTGCAAGAACTGAAGTAAGGAAAAACTGGCAGAAGTAAATTCCTAATATCAAAGTAAAGGGCAGCCAAGCAGACCAGAGTTGAGGTAGGACTGAAGGAAGATGGAATATAAGCCGGCAGTGTGGCCAGGTGGCCAAGGAGGCCAACAGCATCCTGGCCTGTATCACAAATAGTGTGGCCAGCAGGACTAGGGCAGCGATCATCCCCCTGTACTCAGCACTGGTGAGGCTGCACCTTGAATATGGTGTTCAGTTTTGGGCCCCTCACTACAAGAAAGACAGAGTTGCTGGAGTGTGACTGGAGAAGGGCAATGAAGCTGGTGAAGGGTCTGGAGCACATGAGGAGTGGCCAAGGGAACTGGGGTTGCTTAGTCTGGAGAAAAGGAGGCTGAAGGGAGACCTTATTGCTCTACAACTACCTGAAAGGAGGTTGTAGCAAGGTGGGTGCTGGTGTCTTTTCCTGAGTAACAGGCGATAGGATGAGAGGGAATGGCCTCAAGTTGTGCCAGGGGAGGTTTAGACTGGCTATTAGGAAAAATTTCTCTACTGAAAGGTATTGGAACAGGCTGCCCAGGGAAGTGGTTGAGTCACCATCCCTGGAGGTATTTAAAAGACGTGTAGATGTGGCGCTTAGGGACATGGTTTAGTGGTGGACTTGGCAGTGCTAGGTTACCGTTTGGACTCGATGATCTTAAAGGTCTTTTCCAACCTAAATGATTCTATGATGTTGTGATAGAAACATGAATCAAGCCAGCGGCGTGCTTTGTAGACATGCAACAGTATTTTCAGTCTAGAGCTGTGTGTTATGTTTCTTTCCCTGCTATTGTTTTCACCAGTTTATGAAGTAAACATGTCCATTTGCTGCTTATTTCTCCTCCATAACCAGAGTGATAAGGGAAATAACATTAAAATCATGCCCTTATCAGCTGTATTTATAGCATTATATTTTGGAACAGGATATGAGTTGCGAAGTCGTGAAAAGAGTATTACAAATATAATAATGAATGTTGTAAATCTGTTGCCAAGGCTAGGAATGATTTCTCTTTGGGTATTTATAAGAACCTCTTTTTTTTCTTTCCCTTTTTACCATTCCTGTTTCTTACAGAAGATCCATATCTGTCAAATTTGCCTACAGATATTTAGATGTAGTAAAGGGCCTTCCATCTTTCTTTCTTACAGAAATGTAACATCAGCTCTTCCTTATTTTGCACAGCAAATGCTAAAAGATGATGCTTGCAGAGAGTGTGTCTGAGGATCATTTCAAGGCTGCTTTACATATTGATTACTTAAATTGCCATTTAATTTGCTGTATAGCAATACACAGGGCCTTAACTATTTCTCTGGCATTCTTATTGATTGCTGTAATTCTGCCTTACATTATATGCATAGATGGTGTCACCATTAAATATTTATGTGCTCATGAAATGTTAATATGTCGGGTTAATGTGAAACTCAACAAAATGCATTTGCCAGAAGTGAGCAGGAATGCTGATCTGAGTGCTTCCCTTCCCCTCCCCCTTACCCTTTCATTTTGCCTCTCCATTGATTTTATTACCAGTGTTTCTCTGCTGTATCTAAATCTGTGTCAAAGCAGCGCCCTGCTCCAGTATGCAGATTTTATGTTTTATAATGTGAGAGATAAAACACAATAATAATAAAAGAAAAGAAGTGATCTCAGGGAGGTGTTGAGACACAGCTTTACATTGCGCTTGTGCTACTCTATCATCATTCCTACATTTGGGTATGGAAAAGTAGCACTGTCCTCCATGAACGAGACTGAAGCAGGATGACTCATCCAGAAGGCAAAGTCATATTCTGATGTTCCTTGAACAGTGGCTGCAGCAACATAAAATAAAAATTGCAGGGGTGTTTCTTTGATTTGGTACAGCTGTTATCCAGAGATGATGTGGAACAATTATACATAATTTAAACCAAAACTTTTAGAAGGAAACATAACTCCTCTTGGCAGACTGGTGAACTTGATTCTGACACTGTCATGTTGGAAAAGCCTGGTAAAAATTCATAGGAGTCAAATGTTTATCATATTCCTAATGACTTTCTAAGCCTCTGTGGGAAGTCTAGGTGATTTAAAAAAACGACCACCACCACCACTGGAAAACAAAACAAAGTGATCATCCACTCTCATAAAACAGAGAGCAACCTTCCTTTTACAACCCTGGGTGATGGGTTGGGAGTAGAGTATCAGCTAGAGGCTGTCCTTTGTACAGTAGGACTAAAATAGATGCTTGGTGAAGAGGCTTCGGCATGCTATGTGAAGCACGTAGCTTTCCTACTTGCTTTTGGGTTTTCACTCTTTTCCCACTTTTACCTTTAACCACTTCACAAAGAAGGCTTCTGCACATAAGAGAGCATGAAACAGTCACAGCTAAGATCTAGGGAGGGAGGGAAAGGTTTTGCTGCCATCCAGTGTTGCATCGGTCCTCTCCTCCACCTCTCCTCCTGGTTTTGGGTGACGTTCCAGCCTTGGAGCCTTTTGCAAAGGTTTCTTTGCTGACAAAATTGGAAGATTTAAAACAAATGAACAAACAAACAAACCCCAAACCAAAACCACAACCAACAGAAAAGCCAAACAAACAAAAAACATGATGAAGGTGGGAGTTAAGGAGACAGGAGGCAGAGTGCTATGTATAAACACCTGTTTGTGAAGAAAATTTAGAGAGCCTCTGAGGTTCTCTGGTGCTTGGCAAGATCTCTTACCTTTGAAATTCATTTTCTTCCTCTGTCTCTCATCCTGAGGCTATGCAGCAGCTGTTCAGGATATGTTTTGTTTCTTTTTTTTAAAGTGGCAAAGTTTGTTACTGCAAATCTGTTTTGACCATTTCTTTTTTTTCCTAGCCCCTATTTTGCTCTCTTTACAGGCTCACAGCTTCAGTGAAATCTATAGTATTTTTTGATAAGTCATTTTTTCATCTACAATGAAATCTCTTGTTTAGTTGTAGTGCCGGGGAAAACTTAATCCCAACTGCATCTGATATGGCAGAACTTAATGGGTGTAAAAATGTGCAAGGAATTCTTTTCTCCCGTTTATTTTGCAGTGTCACTCAGCAGAGAATACAAAGGCTCTCCTTGAGTCGTTTTTGCAGCACTTACAGGCTTGATGCAAGAGTGATAGGTCTCTGAAGTGTTTTGCATGCAAGCACAAGTTCCTTCCATAATAGAGAAAATGCACACATTTTCTTCCTTTGTGGACTTCAGTTTGATTTTTGACACTTGACTAGCCTGAATCCAGCTATGCAATTTGTGTCCCACCTTTTTCTTTTTTTTTATAGTTCCTGCTAGGTGTGTTTGTGTCTATAAACTGGCAAATTTGAAATGAAACTATTTCTTTTTCTTTGGCTTCTACTGCAGTTTCTCCAAGCCAGAGTGGTACAGAACAGCAACATTGCATAGGAATGGCAAAGCTTCCCAGCTGCTCATGGAGCAGCACTGCTTCTGTGTTGCTGACTGCCTCAGACATAGATCATTTAGCTGGGGGGAAGGCTAAGGTTTATGAAAACAGAGCCTCCCCATACAGTTTTCCTGAATTCAGCCTGGTATATCTTGTAAATGTTGGATGTGGAGGACAGTACTTTAACTCATGGGTTCTTCAAACTGATTATTTTCCATCTTGATTCCTCCTTCAGATTGTGCTGGAGAACAGCAGTCGAGAAGACAAGCATGAGTGCCCGTTTGGCCGAAGTAGCATTGAGCTGACAAAGATGCTGTGCGAAATACTGAAAGTAGGAGAGCTACGTAAGTTGACCTGTTTGTTTGACCTCTAAGAACCACAGAGTGAGTTCAGTGATACTGAAAGTTTATTTCAATGCAAGAATTTCCTTCTGAGAATCGTTTCTCAGTATAGTTACATATTGAACACTGGCACTCAAAATAGCTATGTCTGTTTTTCTGTGTCTTACTAGTTCATGGGCATACCAGGGATGAGGGTGGAATAGGGGAAATGGGCAATGAGTCTTTGAATCTCTTCTATATGAAGCAGGGCAGTTGCATCATTTTTAGAGAGGCAGTTCATTTCCCATTGGGTGCTTTGGTGTAGGAGACTTCATGGTCTTACCATTCCACAGGCTTGTCCACAGGTTGGTTTTATATGAGTATCATGGTCATTCTTTGTGGGATTGCTCATTTGAACTGACACATCCCATTTTCTATTAGGTATCTAAAGCTCTATCTCAATACTAGATTACTCTAGCCGTGTGATATGAAATACTGTATTTTAATGCAGAGCAAACACGCTGTCTTTTGGCTTCAATTACAGTCCCTTGACAAATTGTTAGATACTATCAAACAGAAGAGCGTGTCTGTATCTTCATTAGTCTAGAGTGTTGGTGTTTATCAGTATATATAAACTTCAGTTACCCATCAATAATGTTATGGATCCAGCTGCAGTCTGTTTTGGCAAGCACTACCTCAAGCTTCATTTTCTTGTTGCACAAGCAGGGCGCACAACTGAGATGCTTTGTTTCTTTCAGAGACATTTTTTCCCCTAATAAAGATTTTTCTTTTACCTTTACACCCAAGTCCATGAAATGTAATGAGAGAAGAGCAATGCAAAAGGCAGCAAGAAAGCCTGTAGGTTGGTTCTTGTTCCTACTAGCTCTGCAACAGACATCAAAACCTCTGTTTTAAAACTATGATTTGGCTGTTAATGCATCTGAAGCTTTTAAATGCAGTGTCTTGAGAGAATTTATTGACTAAAGGAAAAATCTATCTCTGTGCAATGAGTCAAGATAAAACCTGTGCATTGCTTGCAGCTTCCAAATTGTCAGTCCATATTTGACAGACCCAGATAAATGATGCAACATTTACTTTTGAATACCATCCTAAGTAAACCAGAGTTATTAAGGAGCGCATTGCCTATGTCTATAAATAAACAGCTTAGCAACTATTTTAGATGTATGGCAATGGTAGTGTGTTGTGTAAGGTTCAGACTGTAGCAAATGTGTCTCCCTTAACATAACCTTACTACTGCAGTTGAGGTGTCTAATGCCAAATCATGCATGGTAGGTCTGTCTGAATTCTTCTGCCAGTAAATGTAGGAGGGATATTATTATCTCAACAAAGCAGTAAGCCAACTTGAATTAAGCGCTAAAGATCAATTTTATTTTTACAAAGGCACAGAAAAATATCTGAAATCCAAAATATGGCTTTGTACCTGGTATTTTTGTGTATGTCCTGTCACTCCATGGGACTTGCACTGCACTTTGCTGCTAAGAAAGATGATTGATCTAGAGGTTAGCCAAGTGTCTCGGAGTTCTTCCTTGCTGTGTCATAAGAAGTCATTCAATAAATAAACCTCTTTTTTGCCACAGACGTGTTTGTTGTCCACATGCAGGGAGCTATTAGTATGTAGATGATTTGCCATGTATGGTACTGTTTGGTCCAGTTGTTTCTAAGGGCAACAAAGCTGGTGAGGGACCTGGAGCACAAGTCTTATGAGGAACGCCTGAGGGAACTGGGGTTGTTTAGCCTGGAGAAAAGGAGGCTCAGAGGAGACCTTATCACTCTCTACAACTACCTGAAAGGAGGTTGTCCTGAGGTGGGTGCTGGTCTCTTCTGTCAGGTGGCTGGTGATAGAACAAGAGGGAATGGCCTCAAGTTGTGCCAGGGGAGGTTGAGATTGGATATTAGGAAAAACTTCTTTACTGAAAGGGTTGTCAGGCATTGGAACAGGCTGCCGAGGGAAGTGGTTGAGTCACCATCCCTGGAGGTATTAAAAAAGCTTATAGACAAGGCACTTCAGGACATGGTTTAGTGGGCATGGTTGACGGTTGGACTCGATGATCTTAAAGTTCTTTTCCAACCTAAATGATTCTATGATTCTAACTTCTGCAGATGGCTTCTTCCATGTTTTAACTTTTTCATTATCTGGTCTTTTAAAGTGGGGATTGTGAATAAAATAAGAGGATTTAGAATGGTGGCTCAGTTACCGTATGAAGAAAAATATGAAAGGAAAGCTATTTTTGCTATCTTAGTTTTAGGAAGAAAATGACTTTATCATTTTTTTAATTTGTTTTCTGGGCGTGTTTTTTTGTTGGTTGGTTGGGTTTTGGTTTTTTGTTTGTTTGTTTGTTTTTTGTTAGAGTAGCTCTATGGTTTGGAAGTATGGGGTTAGAAAAAAACTGAAGAATTCCCCAAGGATAGCTCTGACTAAGGGATGGTACCTGTTAATGTTCTGAAGCCACTTGCTTTGATGTTATCGAAGCTGCTGGGATGCTACATGTGCTGGTTTGCAGCAGGCTCCCGTGGTGTTCTTTCATAGGCGCGTGATGTTGCACAGAGAAGATTTGATGCTGAGAAGTGCACTGGTGCTTCTGTTGATAGAAATCAGATGTAGCATGACTGACTTCTGCAAAGTCATGCTAATCTACACCCACACAGCATCTGTCTCTGGATGCAGCAATAAGGTTGCGTCGTAGCCTTATATTCACAGGGGACAGAGCTAAGGTTATCTCTAGCTCATCTTGACGATTCACCTGTTCCCCAGTAAGTTTCCTTAATGGTTTTGTTTATGTGGAACTCTAGTTGTCATTTAAAAAGGCTATAATAAAATAGACCTTTAAAATAATGTACAGAAACCAGATTTCTTGAAAATGGCTGTCGCAGATGTGCATCTTAAATGACCTGTGATCAGCAGTATATTTTGTTGAGACATGCAAACTAGAACTGACATCTTAGGAGAATGTATATTCAGGTTTATTCTTCACTTGAAAATAAATACTGTATTGCTGAATAGGATTGGACATCTTAAAATCAGTAGTTACAGCTTAGGGCAAAGGTGTCCCTGGTAGTTTGTATGTGATAGGTTTCAAAATATGGTTTTAGGCTGCCAGTGTTTCTTTAGAAATTCAAAACTTGTCATTATGGCATTGGAACACAGAACTTTTTTCCTAGCAGTTTCTGAATTGTATAATTTAAAAGCCACAATAAATGACCTTTTGCTCATGAAATATTCAGCAGTAGAAACTTTCTTAAAGTGCAGAGTAGATAAAAGCTGCTAGACTGTCCATTATTTATGAAGAGCACTTTAATGTTGATTATATTCCCCCTGCTCCCTTGTATTAAATACCTTCAGGCAACAAGAAGACATTTTACCATTTCTTTTTGGTCCTTTCAAGCACGCATTCAACCCTGCAAGGACTCACAAGAAAGTGTTAAGGGCATGCCGCCTCTTCTGCTTTTGTATTTCCCCAAATCCAGGTGTTGGACTTCTTAATTCTTTGACTTTGGTTCCAAAATGTTCATGGCTTGGAAATTCATCTCTTCTTCAGCAAAATATTTAAATGTATGTTTAAAGCTTGTCTAAGTAAAGAAAGCTCAAGTGCAAGCTGTGAGTTGAGCATATGGTGACTGCTTTACAGAGGTGGACTTGCAGAGTAGAGGAGCTAAAACTTAAGAGAAAGGTTGGTGTAGTGTTTAAGTAACATGGAATTTAGAAGGAAACATGTCCATAAGCCTGTTCAATGAAATATCTGAATCAGGAAAGAGTGAGATATTTGACTATAAATCTTTTAATCTTGTGCTACTGTTGCTGTTAAAAAAGCATTGAAGAGAATGGCTTTCCTGAGTACTTGCCAAGGCACTCAACTTGGCAAACACGATGATAATTCTGATTTCTTCAATAAGAGCTTCCTTTGTATATCTTGGCTAACAAGATGATTTGCTTCTCATCCTCTGTGTCTTGGAATTGACATCAGACAGTACCGCTGTTACCCAGTGGTCAGTCCTCCTCCCCCTGTAGGGTAAGGCACTTCGACACTCCACATCCCTGCCACACTGACAAGTTTACAAAGAGCAGAAAAGATCAGGCCATTCATATTTCCTCCGTAGTAGCTATGAAAGGTAAGGTAACCTCCATCTTCCCTCTTCTTCCTTCAGGTTTCAGTACAGACTGTTGTGGTTTAACCCCAGCCAGCAACTAAGCACCACGCAGCCGCTCACTCACTCCCCCCCATCCAGTGGGATGGGGGAGAAAATCGGGAAAAGAAGTAAAACTCGTGGGTTGAGATAAGAACAGTTTAATAGAACAGAAAAGAAGAAACTAATAATGATAATGATAACACTAATAAAATGACAGCAGTAGTAATAAAGGATTGGAATGTACAAATGATGCGCAGTGTAATTGCTCACCACCCAGCTAGTCCCCGAGCGGCGCTTCCCCGCCCCCACTTCCCAGTTCCTATACTAAATGGGATGTCACATGGTATGGAATACACTGTTGGCCAGTTTGGGTCAGGTGCCCTGGCTGTGTCCTGTGCCAACTTCTTGTGCCCCTCCAGCTTTCTCGCTGGCTGGGCATGAGAAGCTGAAAAATCCTTGACTTTAGACTAAGCATTACTTAGCACCAACTGAAAACATCAGTGTTATCAACATTCTTCACATACTGAACTCAAAACATAGCACTGTACCAGCTACTAGGAAGACAATTAACTCTATCCCAGCTGAAACCAGGACAATGACAAAAACGCTCAGCGGAGAAGGAATATCCATGTTAACAGACTCCTGGCTTTGTTGGGAGGCAGTAACATTGCAGATAAATATGAAAATTAAAAACAAGATCCAAAAGGCCTTCCAGAACTAGAGGTAGTAAATTTAATGGGAGATTTGGAGTTCATTAAAACTGAGTATTTGTCATAAGTAAGAATTCGAGCTCAGCATTTTGCATAAGTAGCCTTAATCCTCTCAGATCTGTGCCTACAGTGCCCAGTTCTCTGTACCTGTGCTCAGCATGTGGCACT